GGGGGGGGGGCATTTGCATTCACAAGGCACTGGGTGAGGGTGCGTGTCCCTCGCACGCGGAAGTGGCAGGGAAATCTGTGTGGGTAACAACATCCTGTGCGTTAAGGTTTTGGGTCCCAGAGCCCTGTGAAGTTAAGCTGGGGAAGACAAAACTCTGAGGGTGTGTCTACACAGCAGGGCTAAAGTCGGACTAAGCTACCAACGTGAGCTATGTCAATTGCATAGCTGAGGTCGAAATCGCTGAACTTGGCTTCTGGCGCTGTCTCACAGCAGGAAGTGGAAGGAAGAGCGCTCTTCTCCGGCTTCCCTTGCTCCTCGTGCAATGAGGGCTATAGGAGTCGGAGTGAGGTGTCCTCCAGCTCGACGTTATTCCGAAGTGACGCTGCTGTGTGGACACAGCCTATGGCCGCAGGCTACACGGCCCCAGGTGTGAGCTGTCAGGCTGGTCAACCTGTTCCTCCCCCTGTTTCAAGGCAGAGCTAAAGGAGTCTCTTGTAGGGTTAAATGGATTCCAGCGGACACTGGATTTGCTGGGGCTGGATTGTGCTTCGGGCCAAGAGCCAAATCCACCTGGAGCTGGCGGAGCAGCCCTGCAGGCAGCGGGGTGGCGATGGAGAGGCAGCCTGGCCAGCGCACACCAGAGAGCAGGCAGATGGTGAGTGACCAGCAGAATAAGAGAGAAGCCCCTTTGCCTCCTTTCCCCCTCCCCCCCCAGCTGGGAGGTGAGCTCTGCAGCTCCCCTTGGAGCCCTGGGTCTGCCCTGGCAGCGGGGGGCAGAGAAGGGCTGAGCACGTGGAGGGACAGTGACATGGCAGGACCCAAGACCTGAGAGGAAGAGGAAGAGGACATGGCCCTGCCTACGGGGCTGGGGCTGTTACTCACGGGTTTGGTTATGAGCCCAGGGCAAGACGTTCCCAACTTAACGCTACCTTCCGCCCCCCCGTTTATTAACAGTCTCTTCCTACACTCAGGCTCTGTGCTGTGAAGGGGGGCTATTGCCTCTCCGCGGCTCCCAGGGGTGGGGTGTGCATTTCCCAGGTTGCAGGGCAGGTGCTGAGCCAGGTCTGTGTTGGGTGGATGGAGAGGAGCCTCCACAGACCGGCTCCGTCTGGCAGAAGGGTAACACACCATGCAATATGATGTGCAATGTCAAGTTGTAATTGTACCAACGGGCAGCCCAGAGGTGCAGGAAAAGCTCATTCCCCATAAACTACCTTGTTAGTCTCTACAGTGCTACAGCATTTTTCCCTTTTGTTTTACAAGACCAGAGTAACACAGCTACCTCTCTACTACCCTGCAGTACAGGAGGAGCGAGGCGCACAGACGGGAAGGTTAAAACCCTGTGCCCTCAGGTGGCTAGTGATCAGGCTGTGGCTCTAATGAAAGGACATGAAAACTCGAAACAACCAAACCAAGCCCCACTGTAATATGCTTCTTAAGCCACTGGCCGTAAATAAATAGGAAGCTTAGCTCAGCAGAAACACTCCAACAAGCCTGATCTGCTGAAGAAGAAGGGAAACTGAGATACCCCACCTCATAAAGTTAAGAACTGAACAATGGGATCATTTATCCTCAACCCCTTAAAGGTGTATAACCCCCTTTTCCTCCCCGGGTTACTGGGGAGCAGGTCACACTCACAGGCGTGCCAGGGCGCCTGATGGTTTTAACCCAAAAGGAGATCCTGAGCACCCCAGTGGGGATGTGTTTAGCTGGGGAAAGCCCTATCCACCCCCTTGCTCATAAAGAACAGACAATGGCGGTGCCTCCACCTGGCTGGCCCTGTACACACCGGTGTGCCTTGAGAGCCGCCAGGAATAAAGTCATTCCAGCAGTAATCTGGATCTAGCTCCAGAACAACCCATATACATCTCCTAGATTACATTGGAATGAACAACCTTTACTCAACCACTTCAAGAAACAGGGTTTAACAGATTAACCAGGAATAACATTAACAACGTACACAGAAATAATAGGAACCTTATCTGGCCTGTGCGCTGCCTGTTTACCCCACTCCTCGGAACGCACAGTACCATACAGTTGCTTGAAGATTTGGCAGCTGGGGTGGATGGTTCTAGTCTCCTTTTGTGCGCTGGGTGCAGAGTAGTACTAGCCCCAGGTACAGCTGAAGGGCAATCAGAAGCAGCCTGCTAGGTTCCAGACCCAAAGGCAACTTAGCAGCTCCTGGACTGGATAAAGCTCCTCCACAGCAGCCTGGCTCCTTTTTTCCCCAAAACAAAGGGAAGAGTCCCCAGACTGCTGAGGGTCTCTCCATACAGTGGAGAGCCCAGCACACAAACCAGGAGTCACCTCCTTCCTGGTTTCCTCCAGGGCTCATGGGAATTGTAGTCTCTGGGGCTAGACTGCAGCACACAGGGTCTTCCCAGAAAATAAGCAGTGGCACCTTTTGTAAGGGGACTACAGGTAGAAGCCATTGAAACATGATCAGCCTACGAAACACAGACACAAGAGTCTGGAGTAACTCGTGGTTTGTCTGTGATCAGCAAGAACATTTGCAGAAGAAAAGAAACATTGTAAGCAATAATTTGCCCCCCCTCCCAAAAGGGGGTAGAAAAATGTTTTTCTTGTGTTTCAGAACTTCGGGGGAAACACACTGGTACTAGCTGATGAGCAAGTGAGAATGCCTTAAACCGACTGTCGTGACAAGAATTGGTTTGTGTTTGTGTTTGTGTTGGTTGTATTGTGTGTGTTTTGTTACTAAGATTGTCGTGTACTGGATTTTAAAAAAGCTCACAGATGTTTCAGAATTAAAATTACCAAAAAAAAGTGCAGTATGTAAAAATAGTTTCTGAAAACAAAATCAGTAGCAATTGGCAAATCTTACTCAGCTTCCTGTCTCCAAGCCCAGCGAAGTGCACCTGGGTCTAGGATGCAGAAGAGGAGCAGGCAAGCAGACCAGGGAAAAGCCAAAGCGCAGCCAGAGCAGAGCTCTGCCCTGAGTCCTTTAAAGCCCCGGCTCCAGTTTACCCTTTCCCACCCAGTCAAGGACAGTTGTTATCTGGCTGGCTGCTAACCACGTAGCGCTATCTGCTTCTCTGCTGGCAAACTGGGGCGAGTGGCCTATGGTTAAAACACCTGCAGGGCACAGCGTTAAACTGTGATCCCCGTGAGCGCAAAACCAATGTCAGGAAAAGTTCCTAACGCCCATATGGCTCAGGGGACCCTCATTGCAGCCAACAAGCCGAACGGCGCCCACGTGGACACGCCAGCACACGCGTTAGCTAAAGAGGGAACAACATGAGTGCTGCAAATCTCTTGGGAACAAAGAATTGCCTGGGCGCAAGCAGCCCCTTGGAGAGTTAGACACCGTGGCCAGGAAGAAGAGTGCTGGATGGAAGCCATCAACCTGGAGGAAAAGGGTTTCCGGGTACCTGGGACCGTGGGTCAGCACTGCAGGCTGAACAGGCCAGATAGCCCATGCAAAGCAGCATAACAACCACGCCCCCATATTGATACAGATGCTGAAGGTTGAGGAAGCAGCTGCTCATAAGAATATTGCCTCTTCGGGGAAGGCGCGCGGCTCTGTCCTCAGCAGGGAGCTGCTGCTGTCGCTATGGGGGTGCCCCTCCCCTAGCCAGTGAGCTCTGCGCGCAGCACCCTGAGCCTCTGGGCAGGGCTTGTTAAGCAGCAGCAGGGTCATGCTGCCGCACAGCTTAGAGAGAACGTGGCAGCTGTGGCTCCCTGGGATGCCCAGGCAGCAGCGACTCTAGTGAGGCTTCCCGGCTGCTGCCCAGCTCAGCCATGACCCTGGGAGCTGCAGCCCCCATGGAGGCAGCATGGACGCATCCTCAGCTCGTGCCTTCGTGCACCAGAGCGGAGCCCCCGTTCCTCCACCAGTTCTGTATAGTAACTCTTATCATCCCTCCATTGGCCTACTTACCACTGATAGTGAAAGGTCAATTAATTACCAAGATCGTGTTATCCCATCAAACCATCCCCTTCATAAACCCATGTAGCTTAATCTTGACGCCAGCTAGATCTTTTGCCCCCACTACTTCCCTTGGAAGGCCGTTCCAGAACCTCACTCCTCTAATGGTTAGAAACCTTCGTCTAATCTCAAGTCTAAACTTCCTACTAGCCAGCTTATATCCATTTGTTCTTGTGTCCACATTGGTATTAAGCTTAAATAATTCCTCTCCCTCCCTGGTATTTATCCCTCTAATATATTTAAAAAGTGCAATCATGTCCCCCCTCAGCCTTCTTTTGGTTAAAGTAAACAAGCCAAGCTCCTTGAGTCTCCTTTCATAAGACAGGTTTTCCATTCCTCGGATCATCCTAGTGGCCCTTCTTTGTACCAGTTCCAGTTTGAAGTCATCCTTCTTATACATGGGAGACCAGAACTGCACAC